GCCCAGTGAAAGAAAAGAAAAGATTTAATGTCAATTGATTTGAAATTCTAATCGATAACCATGAAAGAAAAATCAATGCAACTAACCTTTTGGTGGACTGATAAAAAAAAAAAGTGTCTGACTCTGTATATTTTGCATATCTTTCTCAAGAATATGTGCAATAAATATACGACTCCTGATGAAATCACAACTATTAAAAATATAATTTGTGAAAAAAAAAATGCTTTATTGTTATATAAAATATTAAAAAACGTTAGTTTATATTTTGTTAAAACCTTAGCTTCATAAATATTGGAAAAATATTATAAATTGTGAATGAACAAACCAAGCAGTGAATGGGTAAGGTATGCCTAAGGTTATTGAATTGGATTTCAAGGAATGAACAAATTGTGAATGAACCAAAGAATATTCTAGGGTATGAAAATTTGATGGATGGATTGGACTCCATCTTAAAAGACTATATGCGATACCTATGGGATTTGAATACTAAGAGAACGGCACAATCAAACTAGGTTGATTTAGTCTTATCTCAACTCTCCACAGAAGGAGTTGTCACATGACCGAAGGGCATTCCTGTGTTCGGGGTTAGATATTCACAAGAAACTTCGACAAGGCAAGACAAGTCAAGTAATGTAAGAACCTACAACGTCGAGACCCCGTTCCATATACGTCGATGTTCAGTTAAAAAATGGCTCAACGAAACTTAGATATTTAAGTTAAGGACTCCAAAACAGATTTCCAGTCGAGGACTAAAAATTCCATTAGTGACAAATAGTTTCAACCAATTATTAAAAACATGGAAGAAACTTGTAGACAAGTGACAACATATAAAAAATGAAAAGGGTGTATTTGTCATCATCTATGACAACTAAGTCCTATTGTTTGACCCCATTTTTTTCAAAATTCATTTTCAATACACTCTCTTATAAAATAATTTTACACATAAATTCAAAAAAATTCCCTAACTTTTAACCATGCATTCTTCAAAGAATAATGATATTTGCAGTCGCTCACTGCATCAATCGTTCTATGTGGCGCGCACACATGTCAAGTGTGTATTTAATACATCAATGTGATAAAAAAACTACCACATTAATGTATCAAATAACTACATGCCATGTATGTGTCATATAGGACGACTGCTACAGTGAGCGACTATAAATAGCATTACTCATCTTTAAAAACTCACTATTCTAAAGCACATTTTTCCAAAAAAAATGAGTCCCAATCAATGACTAAGACTACTATTATTAAGAGAACTACTTGGTCTCACAACATGTATAATTAATAAATGGACAATAATCGTGAACATGTGATTGAAATTAATATTTAAATTTAAAAGCT